TGCGTGGATGTTTTGTTCAAGACCGAAGGTAGGCCCGCGAGAAGCAGGAGCTTAGAACCCATGACTGACTTTCTCACCTCCAATAGTTTGAGCATACTGTTTTTTGACAAGGAAGGTTGCTTTGTCGTCATGATTTTAACTCTTGACATTCATTCAACAAAACACTCCAACGGCAAAAAAAAACATATTCAGATTTAAAGACCATGGACGCAACATTTCAGTGCCAAAGGTTCGTATCCCGACGCTCCAGGGTTGCGTGTTGATGACAATGTTTTCACTGGGATTACTTTTTTTACTGGGTATATGCTTGGCCCAAGCGTATATTTAGAGCAAGTTAGATGCTCACGTTGCATATTTTGACTCGGGTGTCACATGACCTGCTGATTATGGATATTTTGACTCCTTGAACGTTCTGGTGCGTTCGATAATTTTAGCTTCTTTATGCTTCCACCAAGCGTGCTGTTTCTACATAAAGGCAGCAGTAAAGATTTAACTGCCATCGTCATTTGTGAAGCCACAGTGGCCATTCATCACCTCCTAAGCAAATTCAAAAAGCTTGGCAATCATCGAACGGATTCGGCCTCATAATCACAACCGAAATATATTAAGATAAACAAAAATTTCGCAAATCACTCTGCATAACGATATGAATTAAAGGAGCACGCTTACGCTTTGCCTTTAATAGTGGGACGCGATATAACACACATATAAACCCTCGCTTGTTTTCAAACCATTCAAGTGTGCCTGCGTCACCTAGTCGGTAGTGACTGGCTCGCAACCGAAAGGTAGTTGGCTCAAATCCCGTCTCCGCCTAAAAGGCTTTATATTGTGCCCTTAAAATAAATTAATTATCTTATAAGTAGGGTTCGGAGTTTTCGGTTGAAACCGATAGAAAGCGATAAAAGTACGTCGAACCCATTTTCAAAAAATCGGTTTTAACCGGAAAAGGCCACTTTGACCTTCCAGTCGTACCGCAGAGTCGTGGCGAAAAAGTGGAACGACAGTATCTATCGAAACGTGTCCGAATGAATGGGATACACGGGTGTCATCACGACGTTTTGGTTTAATGTGCGCATCATCGATAGGAACGTGAAGTTCAAAATGCCCCATGACTTTGCCCTGTACGAGCGTGCTTTCAAACTCGTTGTAAGGAAGACTGACTTGATGAAAGCTATGTATCTTGTGTAGAGCTTCAAAACGTTGCACCATGTCTCTTTTGGTGGTCACAATTGGTTGATTGGCCGATTATGACTCAGGCAGCGCTTCATCTCCTCAGTCTGCCAGTGTCCAGTGTTAGCGTTGAGAGGGCATTCTCGAAGCTCAGGATCATATTAACAGGAAAGAAAGAGCGCGGATCAAAGACGAGAACCTGGGAAAGTACATGTGTGTGCACTATAATAAGATCACGTAATCCTGATATACAGAAGGTGAAATTCCATGTTTTTCTGGCATAGGCTTCATATCTGGCTTGTTCGTACTTCTGTGTTCTTCTTTTTTTTTGGTTTTACAGTTGCACACATTTGCCAAATAAAGTGTCCAGATCTTTTTCAGTGTATCCATGCCGTTATTCTTTGAGTGATCACAAATATCAGAGCAACAAGGATCATCTGATCCGGTGTCCGTTGGTGTTTATTTTATATTCACCGAAAAAAGCCGATAAACTTTTGTGGGCACAAATATACACCGAAAAGAAAAACGAAAATTGAATTTTAAAATAAACACCGAAAAAAGTTCGCCGAATGTCGAAAAAATAGAAACCGAAAATGCGGAACCCTAGTTATAAGGTGAAATCATTTGAGGCATGCGGCGACCTTTAATTCGCATTACCGTGACATGTTTTAATCACTTTCATTCCACGCGTGACGTCATGTTTCACGTAAGCGTTGTGAGTTATTTGAAATTCCCGCGCGAGGCCATGTGGCTGTGACGTCTGACTCTATCGGGCTATCAGGATTTTCGCGGCTTTTCTGACACGCCTGCTTTTCCGGCACGCCACCGAGGCCGGCGCAACACGACCTCCTTAACGTTATCGCTTAAATATTTCATATCTGATACACATATGTCGAATCAGACAGACGACATCTATTCTGTTGTCTTTTCCTCAACTTGCTCAGGGAAACGGGGCTTCGAACTCGGCTTTAACGAATAAAAACCCCATTGTTCATAATTGTGTTTTTTTTTTAGTACGTATGATGTATTGAATTAAGCGGGTCAATGGGGCAGTTGAGTAATTCTCCGGATTAAAGATTAAATCGATAAATCCTATTAACACGCGATTATTATGTTATTAAGGACTTTTTTTAATATAGCTCAGCCCGAATTGCAACTTTCCAGCAGTTTTGAACCGAGACTGAAATGTCAACAGAGAGAGGGAGAAGAGCGCTGAGGCACTTCGGTGGAACTCTCATGATTCGTACCTGACTGGGACATTACGAGACTGTGTCACAGTTATTCACGATTGTAAGCAGGTTCTCTGGCCGCCCTTCTGTCCCTGATCGTGTGAGCAACCATGTGCTAACTCTTACCAGCACTCATACATGCCTACTGCTTACTCAACATGTCGTATAAACAATCCGGGAAAGTAACTTTTTTTTTTTTTTTAAACAGAAGGTTTGTTTTTATTGGCCAAGGTGCACCGGGGGAGCATCGTCCTTAGCCCCACAAACCCAATCCTTGTTGTTCTTGACTCCAAACAATGTCGAAATAAAACTGGATTGCACTAGATGGTTTACAACCGTTCACACAATAAACAAGTCAGGTAACTAGCCAAGATGTCTGCGTAAAATAATCTCGCTCAGAAGAGTTTGCAAGCGATTTTGCAATGGGGCGCCTAAGTACGCCCCAACAACAGTCGGTTTCCCAAAACCCCAAACTACGGGTGGAGAGATAATACAGCGCATATACTTTAGCGCTGCGACAATGTTCAGTCAGCAGTGACGCAGAGCGAAATCGGCGTTAAAGCTCCCATGATTCAACGAAGTGCGGCATTTAAAAATCTGCCGTTAATCTTCTAAAGGGGCAATAAAGTAAAAGCATCGGATTTAGTGCTGTTTTAGAAATCGGAAAGGTAGAGTGACAATGCTTTTGTCCCGTTTTCATTTCAATAATTTCCTTTTAAGAACAACAGACTGTTTACCTAAAATGATCATTGGAATAATTTTCTGACAACCAATTAAAATGCATCCACTTGGCTGAAACCAAACTTAACTATGCAGTCGACTTTGCGCTTTCTTTTACCATGCCAGCATTTGCCACGTAGTCGAAAATTCCGACAGACTTCAACGCTGTGAGCTAGTCAGTCATCGGAACGATAATTGCAAGGTACACAAGACTATGTTTCTGCCTTTCTGTTTCATGATTCCTTCCTTTTTCAATTGATATTTGCATTGGAATCACTGAATGCTGAAGAGAGAAGGGACTGCTTCACTCACCTGACTTTTTTTTTTTTCTTACACTTCTCACAACGCTGGATGATAATAAAGAACGGTAGGTGCGGGAGGGGATTCCCACTCCCTTTGGAAGACGAGAGGACACGGCCTCTGCTTGCAAAATATTCGCCTTTTTCACTGAAGAAATCTTTTTGCGTGAATCGAGTGAACGGTCATGCGACTTGAATTGCGGTGGCTACATTTTGCTTAACCATAAGACGGAGTACAGCCGATTCTACGAGCAAATGAGACCAATCAAGCAGCTTTGAAAACAAAAGGGCAAAGCTTTCATCGTCATTATATGTGCTGGTAATCGGCGGCGTATTCAATCAAGCCCAAACAATGCGCCTTGACTTTGGAATGCTATATTTGGTGCGGGCATTTATGTGTGCCTTCTACCACTTGACTGACGTACAAATTCGGTTTGCTGCAGAGAAGATAATCCTATCAGCGCTCCTCTCTCCTAAGCTAAGAGGGGAGCCTTTTTGGGGCAAGGTAAATGTGTGAAGAAGATATAAGAAACGAGGAGGCGGGAAAAAGCGCAAAGCGCGAAGTGTAGTCGCCGGCCATATGAGCTCCCCCGGCCGAACGCCGACCGGATCAGCGAAAATCCCGCACGCGGCGCGTCGAGCGTTGCCGCGTTTTGGGAGCTGGGCTATTGGGACCAAACCATTCCGTTATCAAAGGGGTGGATGCATAGCTTTTATTGGGATTCCAGCCTTTAGAAGTCTGAATCACAAAAATATGGACGATTAGAATCGCCGTCTTCGGGTGTTGGCCCCAAGTGTTCGGATATGATGTTATAACTGCTGATAAACTGAAGCTTGCTTTAGGCGTAAATAAAGCAGCAGTGTTCGATCGATGCTTACAAATGTAAAGATCCTATGTTTGATATGATATTGGGCATGACAACAATGATCCCTCGGCAAGCGAGAAGTGGCCGACGAGGAAGCCATCTGCAAAGTCATCGTGCAAGTAATTGCCCTTGGCGAAGCAACACGCTGGTGAGCGCAGAACAATGGAGTCTCTTCAATAAAACGCGTTCATGAAAAGTGCCTGAATCTTTATTCTGCTTCGACACAAATCTTTTTCTTTTTGTTATCTGTAGCATACCCCTATAGATTCAATAAATTATTTCAAAATCGCTTGTCATTGTCTAGTCTAGGTTTAAGAAAGATTGTAAGAAAGCTTGTGCGTAGGATTACTCTACGGGTCGGAAATATTCAAAATGACATACCGGTTTTGCAAATAAAAAAGTAGCATATAAAACGTCAGAGATATTATGCAGCGAAGAATTTCGATAAGCCGTCTGCGTTTACCTACAACCGGAAGCGGGATTGTAATCGGCCGTGCTTCAGATCCACGTTCCAAAACGCGGAATGCTATTAAACATCCTGCGTCCACCCCTTTGATAACGGAATGGTTTGATCCCAACAATCCGGCTCCCAGAACGCGGCAACGCTCCACGCGCCGCATGCGGGATTTTGCTGCTTCGCTCGGCGTTCCGCCTGGGGAGCTCGAATGGCCGGCGACTGTACGTAGGCAAACACGAGCATCCCCACTTCCACCTACCGTCGAGCAGCTGATTGAGCCTTGCTAACGCGTCCACTCGAGATTCGTCCGTCTCGCCGAGCTCTTCTTCGGCGATCCGCTGGAGCTCGGGCGTTAGATCCTCGTCACTGATCATGGTCTGACCACCGGTTTCTAGCTCGTTGCCTTCTGTGGACACGATGAATGATTAGGAAAGCAGAATCACATAAATGGTGCAACAAACAGTTTGAAAGCAACTGCAGAGCAGTAAGATAACGACTTGACCCGTGGAAACACAAGGTCAACCATATCTGTTTTCTCGGTGATTGGAATATACCTCTCCTGCTATTGGGTGGGCTAACAAACGGCCCGACTGTCCAAGTGCGACGTCGCTTTTCTGCAAACATGCAGCGAAGAGATAGTGCACCGGAAAATAAATTTCGTTTTTATCTTTTTTTATTTTTTTTTTTTAACGTGCAAAGCTTTTTTTTATGCGGAAGTTTGTTTGATAATTCTCTAGTTATCAGGCAAGGTCAATGGGTTTTTGCTCTCCGAACATTCATTTCATATTTTCCACAACTCAAAGCTACAATCCTTGACACGGTGATGCCTTTTGGCAACCTGGTGAGCGCACGTTTCGCCCTACAAAGTAAAAAGACAAAAAAAGAAAAACACAGAGAAAACTAAAGCTATCAATTATTCCACGCCGCGTACCGGCAACGTCGAGAGGTTTTGGAAGGACGTCCTTTCGATACTGTCGTCTGCTTTCGCTGCTTAGTTCTTGGAGGCAACATTGTTTCACATGCTTGCTTATTAAGATCAGCTAAATAACTGTGCCTCAGCGGTGCCGAAACAAAATAAGAAAGGAACAAGGACGAGTGAAAGCACCTTAATGGTGCAAAAAATCGTTCATTCCAGGAAAAAGAATGCCACCACGTAAAACATGGTCCCGTGAGCAACTTGTGGTGAGATTCACCGACAAAGGATTTATAAATCAAACATCGCCACAAACGACGCCTCAACAAAATAAAAACATTGGGGGGGGGGGGGGGGGGGTTCTTAGAAACTGTCTGTATATTATTTGTAACCAAGAAAGGATACCAGAACCTTATGCATTTATACCATCAGTCAATTCGGAGTCATCACGAACGTTATCAAAAGGGATCGCGATTTTGTGCTGATGGGTGTGGAAGCCATTTCACGCCTGCCATGGACTAATTTAAGCGGAGGCTTAATTTTCTCGAAGAGACTATACACTCGCAAAAAATGTGAGATTGCTGTTTGCCTAACGAGTCAGGCAAAACGTCAGTATTGCGTAAACAATATTCAGACACTACAATTTGTTCTGTATATCAGTTCAAATTTACACAAAAACATTTATTGAATCACATGCAATTTTCTGAAGGGTCGCTCTTCAAAAGCCATACGTCCGAATGAATGATTACCTGAACAACTCTATTTCACGCCTTCGTCGACATTTATTGCCCACTCGAAGTCGAATCCTATATCGCTTTCACGGCTCTGAGACTTCTCCAGATAACTGCTAAAATAACCTTCTAACTTGCAAACTCAGAAGGTTCAAATTCCTACGTGTTCATTCTCCTTCAGGGCACCCGGAACAAGAAGAGGCTAGCATGAATAACCCATCCACTTGTGGCTGCGATGGCTGCATAACGAAATGGACGGATATGGCTGAATCGTTTTAATCGTGTGACGTCTTCCTTTATCTATAGCTGTTTCACCTTGCTCAACCCCGGGGGGGAAGGATGGCTTGGCGTAAGAGGCCGATTTAATTATTGCTGCTCCCCGAATTTTGATAATTCATGGTCCTATTATGGACGTAACGACTTATAATATGTCCATAGTGCACACATCTGGATACGGGTGTTGCGCGATCCTTAAGTTCAAAATGGCGACGTGCGTGTTTGATCAGATTTTGTCGAGAGCATCCAAGAACACTGTAGCCAGTTTAGCGTTCTCCCTAAACTTTGCAATTCTCTGAATTTTCAAGCGGTGGAAACAGCCGTTTTGTGGACGGTGGAGTTTTTAGCGGTTTCCAAGTATTGATAGATTTATTTATTTATTTTCGGGTGGTCTACAGTGGGCTTTAGTGACGTTTTCCGTTTCCTTTCGTTCTCAGTCACGTGGGTTCCGTATCTGGTATGCGGGACGAAAAAATAGTAAAACATTTGAACCTGGAATATGATAGAAAATATAGGTGAGGTAAAACAAGAGTGTGTGACAATCATAAATTTTACGTGAACACCTCCCAGCGGCGTGGAGAGATCAAAAGTATGTTTTAACGCATACCAGAAGTGACAACATTCAAGATGGTCGCGGCCTTGTGGAAAAGGTTATAGACCCTAGGTGTTTTTGAGAACTTGGTTGTGACCCCTATGACGCGCTTCTCGCGTCGTTTGTATCGCAATACTACTTGCGATTCACTGCAAGAACGAGCAAGAAGCGCGAGAAAATATTTGAGACGAGAATCCTCTGCATTAGGGACAGAATCACAGCCGCTTTTTCTGAACTTCTCAACTTCGAATGTCAGTCACCTTTCAAAAGATGGCGCAAGTGCGCGTCGTCTGCTACAACATAAGTCATTTTCAATATTTAGGACGATTAGTAGGCTTTCAAAAATTGCACTCATGAAAGTGATTGTAATTAGAACGAGAAAGTTCTAATTAAAGAATCGTTGTTTAAATAGCTGTCCCCCCCTCTGAAACCGGTTTTTTTTTTTTTTTTTTGCGTACAGAGTCGAGCTTAAAAAGAGTCCCATGATGTAAACTTATTTTAAACAAATCTGATTATGAATACAACCAAAGAAGCCTTACATATAACCAGCTTAGTTCCTCTAGCATACAATATAAAATAATGTGATCTGATCCTAAAATGCTATACGAGAAAACAAAGAACGCGTGAAGCCATAGTTCATACAAAAAACATAAAAAAAGACTGAAATGGACGAAGGAGACACACTCACAGTTCTTTCAACAAACAACGACATTTATATGGTGCCTATCGCACCAGGGAACCCACTTTGGAAGTACATAGGAAAGCACCTTCAATCTACCGGGAGAAAGTTGTTGGTCACAAAGTATGACTGGAAGGTCAAACACTTCATTACTGACCTTGCGAGAACATGCATTTATTGATGTAACGATGGTGCACTGTGCGGATTCCGGCAGTCTGGTAGCGGAGGTTTGAAGAAAGGTGAACGAAAGATGGGACCCATATTCAGGACCAAAGAAATGAGTCATGAGGCTTGGAGCAGATTCTCCATGATCCTAATTTTTTGGAGGATCTTCTTTCGAGATGTTTGCACGATAGGCGGTAGATAGAAGACCAGTAGTGAAAGGAAAACCCTAGCACCGATTCAACTCCGGGGTCAGCTGTTTTCTTGCGGATGAAAAGCCCAAGCCAGCGGAGTCTAAGAGGAGGAAGATGTATCTTTGAAATGAAGCAGGCAGCTTCAGTCATACTTTGTTACCAACAACTTTTCCCTGGTACATTGGAAGTACTTTCCTCTGGACCCAAGTTTTCTCCAGATCTTTCCACCTCCAGAGTTTACCAATTGAATTCGGTACATCAGGTCGCCACGCATATTCCAGAAAAGGGGCGGTAGAGTTTTTTGGCAGTTCGTTCAATCCGTTACCACCCCCTTCCGAAAGCAGGCAAATTGCCGATTCGGAACACAGCTGAAGAGTCGCGCCGGAAGCAACTTAAATTGCTTGAATCAGACAAGACCGGCGTTTTTGTGGGTTTGGGATGAAGGAGCCTGCGGAGAGGTCAGGAAAGCATTGGAAAAATACTTTGATCAACTACTAAAAAGGCCATTAGAATCTCTGCATGCAAAGGCAAAAGGACTATGCACCTCTATTAATCTGCCCATTCTCAAAAAAAAAACAAAAAAACACTCGGATCACCTGAAAAACAATATTTTTCTGTATTTTTTACTGCGAAGACACACAAGAAAAGCGCGAAGCTCAGGAGCATAGTATCTGAAGGAGGTTGCTGGCAAAAGCATTTGGCCTTATTTCTACAGAAGCATCATTCTACGTTGACTCTCTTCCAGCCCTTTAGGATTTTGAACTCCACATGACAAATCCCCCACCTCAACTCCCTTCACTCCGCACGCAGCCACACTCCATGTTTTCGTAAGATATAAAATAACTTCACTACAGTCTTGACCCCCGAGTTGTCTTGAATTCCGTCTCCGATGTAATACATGAATAGGGTCTTTGCAAGTTCCAAAACACCTCACGGATCTCCGTAAAGAATTTGACAGATCTTCTTGCCGTATACATTCAAATGACACTCGTTGAATACAACGGCAAAATATTGAGGTAAAAGAAAGGTGTTTGTGTAGGCTCCTGCCTGGCCCCGGTGCTCAGTGAAGTTTTCGAAGCAAGAAACAGAAAGCAGAGAAAGGATTGGCACCACACTTCATCAAGCACTACAACAAAGGCATAGGATCTTCGAAACCAAGCACATCCAGAGTAGTGTCAAAAGCAGCCGCAGCAAGCAACATTCCACAATAGCAGCCAAAAGAAAATTCATTCAATATTGTCTTTCAGGCAGTATTTATCGGCGCAATGACGGCAGAAGCATTCGCTAAATTATTTCATAAGGCAGTGTAAGGAAAGCTAAACCAAAGGCATGCTGCGAATCGTTACTTTGGCAGCGCAACAAGCCAAAAGGAGATGTAGCTGCTTTGTTGTTGTTGTTTTTTTCCGGCTCGTTATTGTTTGTTCCACTGCTAACGTGACTGACTTATATTTTATTTTTCAACAATGCTGAAGAGAAAAAAAAACACAACACCACGAATGCGGTCCACAATTAACAAAAAGGCATCAAGAAGCTTTAGGTCAACTCACGAGCCAATGGGACGAATGTGATTGTGAATGCGCACGTCCATATTCAGAATAGGAACTCGATGTCCACTGCCGCATCCCAGTTTTTATTTCTCTAATTTAGTCTAGAGATTTAGTCATGGAATATGGTGGTTGTGATCTACAAAAAAGAAACGGTTCATCAAGCCACAGGAACGAACTGATTCGAATTAAATGAATATAGTGCTTTGGCAGCAAATGTCGAGATGCAGCTCACGGGGGTAAACTTCCTTCTCTCTTTCTGGCCCCGTTTCGACACATCTATTTTCCTTTCACCACAGTATAGAGCAAGCTGTGACCATATTTCATTTCTTCGTACTGTCAGTCAGTGAAAGCTATTACAAGGGTAGAAATCACTACACGTATCAAAACGCACTCATTAACAGAACTAACGCTAACAAGAAAAACCGTAACAAAAAACAGGGAAAGAAATACTACAAGAAAACAAAATATTGCTATCGTTTATCTGTTCAACTCACTTCAATCGCTGCTCATACGGTATATTGCTTACGCAGCATGGCTAGTCTTTTTTTAAAAAATGTAGAGCCTTCCGCGCATGTGGCTGGAGCGGGCTCGCTCCCGCGTAGCGGCGCTCGCTGGCTACAAGATCTCCGAGAGAGAGGGGAAACTTCGCTCTCGCATCGCGCTCGCCTTGATAACAAAGAAGCACACAACGAGAGCAGGCAAGACGCACGGCGCACCCGCTATTTTGCGCGACTTTGGCCCGATTCGTAAGCGAAATCACCCCGCGCTCTCAAAATCTCGCAGCTAGCGAGCGCGGACGATAAGAGCGCCGCTGCACGGGAGTAAGTACGCTCCGGCCACGCGCGCCTTGGGCACTACACTTTTGAAAAAGACTACACAGCTTCGACCCCACTTTGGGCAGTCCGCAAAAGACGGTTTTTCGACGTATCGCGCTTAGATTTACAACACAGAGGTGCGGCTAGGTGGTACATTTATAACGTTAGATTATGAACAGATAAACATGCCTTCTTCAAGGAAGAAAAAGAAAAGAACCTGTTTCGCGCAGTCTTCAGCTCCAGTTTCCGGGCGACGCAGACGGTGCTCGTTGACTTGGACGCGCCGCCGACAATTGGAGTGTGCATCGAAGGCGAGCGGGGCGCGCCAATATGGGTTTTGATAGCAGATGGTATAGGTATGGTGTCTGGAACGCTTCTCCGACTGGTCTGTTTACAGCGTCCAAAAAACTGGTCCCTCGATTCCCGCCTGGTGACGTCATAGAAGTGTCATGCTGTCGCCGGTCGCGATCCTGGGGGGGACTCAGGAGCTATGGTGGATGTGGCAGACGCCTGTTCTGCTACATGTCACCCGTCACTGTGACAGTCCACGGAAGCTACAACAGCAGAAAGCTGGGACGCCTGAGACGCTGTGACGACAGCGACACTCGCGTTCGCTCGTGCTTTTCGCCAGCATTTCTCCGACCAACCGCCAGGATCGCAACAGGCAACAGCATGACACTCCGGCTTCTGTGACGTCATTTGTTGCCACTTGGGAACCACTTTCGATGTATGGGCAGCATATAGGACGCTAAACGCACCAGTCGGAGACGCGCTCCAGGCACCATAGTACAGCAAAAGCTTTTCGATGCATATGCCATCTGTTGGCAGCGTCTCCAAGTCAACGAACACCGTCTGCGTCGCTCGGGTAATGACGCCGTAGATTGCCCGAAACAGGCTCGCCTTTTTCCTTTCTTGAACGAGGTAAGTTTATCCGTTGATATTTTAATTTTATGAGTGCACCGCCCAGCCGCACCTCTCTAGTAAATCCACCCTCGATACGTTGAGAAACCGATTTTCGCGGACTGTCAAAAGTGAGATCAAAGTGTTAGTGTACATGCTGTAGTTTATCCAGTCACTCATATAGGATGATCAAACCACTAAAAAATACGCATTCACTCACCGTCCAGCAAGCGACTCAACCTTGCTAAGACGTCTGCCCGGCCCTCGTCCGTCTTTCCAAGTCCTTTGGCAGTAGGCTGAAGGTCGAATGACAGATTCTTGCCTCCGATAGCCGTGGCCAGATCACCAACTCTCGGCTCGCCCTTCGCTGCGGCAAAAATGAACCGTCTCAAACCCGCAGATCCTGATATCCAGCACGAACGCAGTGTTACTGACAGCCCCGTAGAGCGACATTTGAGTCGAGCGCTTGGAGTTCGCCTTATTTGCTTCGATTGATAGAGTATGCTTCATATCCAGACGTTGGAATGAAAAAACAATTGGACATCGCAAACTCGAGGTAGCGGTTGGCCTTCACTACTCAATTTACTCAATTTCTAAGTGAGAGCTAAAAATAACGGAATTAGACTTGTTTCTCTCTACCTGTTTTTACTACTGCTGCAACCAATGTCGGATAAACCTCCGTTGGCGTGCGTACGGGACAAAAACGGAAAGAAAAAAAGGAATGACGACGAGGAACGTCAACGATGGAACGTCTTGGCCTTGCAAGCTTTCAAATGTTGATGTTTTATTCGCAGCGGTGTAAATAGGAAAGTTTTGTTCATTCTGTGGGAATGGATCGATTACTGTGACGACCCGCAAAGTTGAGACGGGAAACCGGTTCGACATCGCAAACACGGGGCAGCGGTTGGCCTTGACAACTGAAACCGCGGCACGGGCGGCTACATTACACAGTCCCTGCGGTGGTTGTCTCGACGATGTGTATAAGCGGTTACACGCGTGCATGTACGCAGGTCCCACTCGGAACGTTGTTTATCCGATAAAGACGGATGCCCCCTAGACGTGTTGCATTAAACTCCCTGTAAAATCTCTGTCTGCATGCACTTTTTTTTAGCAGTTATTGACATCCTGTAAAAAACACAAGACCCCCCCCCAAAAAAAAAATTTTTTTTTTTGTCAGACGATTTATTTAGGTGTTGGAAGACTAGCCAATTAATATTTTGCTACAGAGTCACGTATATTTTTGATAAAGCCAAAGAAAAACGCAACTGCTCCAAACCGAAACCTCCGCACGGCCCGGCCGTCACGTGCCTAAACCCAACCTTGCGTCGTTTTTTTTTTTTTTTTTTTTTTTTTTTTTTTGCGGGAACCGTTTGCCGTGCGATTTTTTGCAGTTATGTTTGTTCCGCTCGCTGTTCTCTAATTCAAGATGAATTTTTTTTTTTTTTTTTTTTTACATTGCAGACTTGGAAATGAGTAGCGAGTGCCCGTGGTGAATTCCCTTGATCGGCTCCAAAAGAATACCTCCAAGATGTCGATGCCGAAAGTTGCATTCTGCGGCAGAGTCTGCACAAGTTACCGAAAGATCAACGGGATCGGGACCAATGGCTGGCTACAATTCCTGTAGAACAGTTACGGGCACCTTGGCAAGGACGCTACGCAATTTATCTGCTCCTTGCCTTATGTGGAACGTGACTACATTAAGTTCGCAGGTGTCAAGAAGGGAATCGCATACCATCTATTTCAGCGAAGTTTCGTCCACAACATTTGGTTGTTTTTTCCGGGATAATTGTAAAAATAAAATATATAAATATCGCGAAATGTTTGGAAAAAAAAATGCACCCACACGGGGGTTGAATTTAGGCCCGCTGCGTGTGAAGCGGACATCTTTCCACTGAGCTACCGGGGAACTCGTCGTTATCATGTAGTCGGTATACTGTAGGTCGGAAACCTTGCTGCCGATTTCCTTCCAGCGAAGGAACTCCCGCCTCGCAGTAGGACAGCACCACGCATTGGCCACATTTTACACCTAGTAAAGAAATCGTACGCGCGCATGTTCAACTCGAAGGACGCACTTCGTGCTTGACGTTTGCGCGAGCGATGTCTTCATCCACGAGAAGGGGCAATGGCTCGTCGACGTCTTCGTGCAAATCGGCCTGGTGGTTGGGCGTGTCGTACGGGAGGAAGATCAATTCTTTTGATCAGTTCAAGATTTCTCTTTCGAAGGAAGACCCATTCGCCGGTACCGCGAACGACAGTTCCGAAGTAGAGGTCCCACGTCCGTCGTCCGCTGCCATCGCAGTCCAGCCTGCGAGACCTATGATACGCGATGCGACCCCATGTTGAGGATTACGCAGTAAACGCACAGAATGCTTCCAATTCTCCGTGTAACTTTTTTTTTTTTTTAGTTCACGTATTTGCAGTTTTTTGGAAGCCACAAACAATGGGTTTCGTTTTTTTTTCGATTTTTAATATTAAGTGTGTGCTTTCAATGACCCACGACTTTGATTAAAGTTGGTGGTTGTATCTAAACTTTAGAAAACGGCCCTTGACCACGGAGAGGAGAGTGAGCGCGACTAAAACAGGCCAGTTCTCGATGGGCGGTAGTCGGGCAGAAAGAAGCCGAATTTCGAGCCGCCAATTCTGTTCTGGGCAGTTGGGCTCTCATATGTCACGTACAACTCAAACCCTTGGCGAGCATTAATACCGTGTCAGTGCCGGCTTTTAATGTTCATGTTTCTTGCTTCGCGATTCGCACTATTGCGTTCTTATTCGCTATTGCTGCCATCTCATTGGGTGCGGAGCTATTCGGAGACGTTCGGGACTCACCACGCCCTTCGCTTCTTAGGTTGTCGGTGATATAATCGAATGGGAAGACGGCGAAGGAAGCGGATAGAAACAAAGTGAATAACGTCTAGCCGCACCGAGAGTACGTTTTAACGTGTCTTCTTAAACAAACAACTGTGCAGCAGAAAAGGTACGGTCAGTGCGCAAACTAGCTGGTGGAAGTTTACCACGATGATTTTAGAGACGCCCTCTGTCCCTGATACTTTCTATTCCACTGTAAAAAAAAAAAATTGTTTTAGTTTTGGGTTAGAATGATAACAGCAAAAAAAGGAAGCGCAACGACGCCTTTGAGTTGCTGCTATTTTTATTTGCTTGTCAATAACAAGATACCATGTTTCGATGCGCAAACCCTTTCACGTCCAAACTAACGCGTAGAGCTTTTTTTTTTTTATTATTATTATTTCACCATTTAAGAGAAAGAAAGTTTAAAAAGTCTGTGCCGCATACATTAATTCTAAAAACTAAGCGTTTTCCGGTTGGTTTTAAATATTTATTTCTTTATTTTTATATAGCGGCGCTTTTGTCCAAGGACTTTCTGGGAAGCGTTGGATTTGTACTTGCAACAATTCATATCCAATCTATTAGTGGTGGTGAGCATAAGTTGCGCAGGTTAATTTATATTTAGTCTTAACGTAATAAAAGCGCTAAGAAAAAACAAGAACAGATTAAGGGTTGACGACAACACAAGACTGTTAGTCTGCTCTGTCAGCTTTTATATGCCTTAGCATTACTACCTACGTGACAGGAAAATCAGACGGCGTCCGTCTGTGGACAAAACAGTGGAAAGGGAAGCGCGTGCGGAGAAAAAAGGAGAGAAGTGAAGGGGACGAAGGCGAGAGGAAGGCGAAGGTCGCAGGGTAGAAGTCAATGCGCCCGCGGCACGCTGACGCGAGAGGGAGGCAACTGCACGGGCGGTAAAACAAAAGTACTCCGGCGTTTTCTTCATAGTGCCCGATTTGCCTGAAAGTTTGCTAAACACAACAGGCGTCGCTGAAATAATAACCCAAACATTAGGCAAAAAAAAATGTTTTTCGGAAAGTTATTGAACTTATACATTTTTGATCCTCGCCGTGTTTTTTCAAAGTGAAAGCTTCTACTGGCAACAATGAAGAAGTGACGTCAGGGGAAGGCAGGGGTTAACTCTTTGCTCTGAAGACCTTGTTCCCAATTGATTACAAATAGTTTCAAGCCCGCTCCATGACCTGCGCGGCAGCACGAAGCAAATGCTCGGAATAGTCCGCTTTTAGAGCACCCGCTCCCCTGAAAGACTGCCTACCCCTGACGTCACGGCACTGAAAAGCGCGGGTATATTGGCGTGTCGGTCTTGTCATCATTTTCACTTGCCGATTTTGTAATAACTATTTCAAAGTTCGCGATAGGAATTACAATACTGGAAAGGGTAAAGGCCGCATTCCAAAAATATAGTTAGATGGGGTTGCTAAAAAAACAAAAAAAAAAACGCTGGAGTATCATTTTAAGCAGGCGTCACATGAGTGGTGAAACTGGGCGCCGCGCAGCGTTCCGCATGACTCTCAGCCTGGCGCGATACCAGGGGCGGATCGAGAACTCGGTTTTGGGGGGGGGGGGGGGGGGGGGGGGCGGTAAATTTTGTACGGGTACTATTCTCCCACTCTTTCGTGTGCACCGGGGAGTCCCCCCATGTCAAATTGCCCTCCGAGAAGGGGGGAGGGGGGGGGGGGGGTCGACCTTGTTTGGGGGGGGGGGGCGGCCGCCCCCGTCGCCTCCCCCTTGGATCCGCCACTGCGCGATACGCGATGGTATTTGTGAATCCAGAGCACAAGCACGCAAAAGCCCGTCGCGTGACACACATAGTTGTTGAGCTACCATTGGTACCGAACGTAGAGCGACTGGAAGTGCTTCTCTCTTCGCTTTAAAACGCAGTATTTAAACGCAAAGCGTAAACTAAAGTATTCAGATTAAAAATAAGCAAAATATAAAACCGGCGCATTCCTTATTGTGCTAACATTATATTAATATTAAAGTAACAAAGTTGAAGAAAATATACCGCAAAACGTATATGGAACCCTGAACGCCGCTACGAAGTTTTAGAAATGGAGGCCCAGGTTGAACAGAAAAGGATGGCGCGAATCGCTTGTACGAGACGCGACCAGCTTTCATGAGGCACTTGGCGCTTTCGTTCGAAAGTACACGGAAATGTTTTATTGAAGTTTTGACAAGGAAGTCGAACCGAATGCAATGATTATCAGGTATTATGATTGTGGCATTGAAATGAACAGTGACAAATTGGTATCCCCGAGCATCATAAAAACAATATGCATGGGAGTAAATACCTACCAACGCAGTCCGAAATGGCAACCCAGCAGAGAAATCCACCTTTCGTCGAAAATTTGCTGCCTCTTAGACACGCGACTGGGTTTGAGACTAAGGGGCGAGAAAACAACACCCGCCTCTCCCACCCATTCGACTCTTGTTCGCCCATTCATTGAGGCGCTGTGACCTAGATACAGCTCCCCCGAAGTCGCCTTTGTCCTCATCGGGGGT